CTCCCATATGGGAAAAGCCGGGCCGCGAGAAGCGCGTGAGCTATCGACAAAGCCGCCAGGTGCGGTTTCCGAAGTATGCAAAGAGGAGCCCGCCAACACCGAAAGGATTCATCTCATCGGCCACACCTCCTCTGACACCTCCGGCCCGCTCCCAGATCCAACAGAACACTCGCGAATACATCAAGGCATTCCACAGTGGAACCTCCCACCTGTTGGGTGCTATCGGTGGGGCTCGAAAGAAGATCAGTGGGGCCAAGCTTGAGCGACGACACTCGCAGCTGAAATCACAGATCCGACTCATTGGCCCTGTTAGTCCATACAACACCCAAGGACAAACTGATCCATGGGTGTAGTCCTTAGCAGTCACTCGCTTCCCTACTCTTTCTATATTCATTTACATTACTTGATATATGTGGTCAACACTACACTATATTTCGTGGTTTTGGTGGTCATATTAGCGTGCTTCTTTTCTCTCATTCTTTTTATATTTCACATCTGTTGTTTATACTTGATATCCCGTTGGCACTCTGCAGGTTCAATGTCAGGCGTTGTGGTTTTCGTGCTAAGCGAACTCTAAGAATCTTAGTTTATAGGCATGGTCGCGTCAATTCATGACCCTCTATTTATGACTCCATGGTTACCGAATGAATACATTGTTAGCTTTGATGTTCCTCTTCCACTGCGACCTGAAACACGTGCCAGGGCAAGGCTAGGTACTGTCACCCCTTGCGAAACCTCGCAACGTTGCCCGAGTCACCGACAGGATGTGTAATTGCCGTGCATGAATCGCATCTCCTGCATGCTACGGCCCACACCCGTACCGCCCACTCATTCCTGAAGAAGGCGGCTTTGTATGCACCGTCCTGTCCCCTTGTACCACCTTCGGGAAATTAAAACCACGCTAGCACCCTGAAATTCAGGATACCGGCATTTTGGAAAAAGATTGAGGAGTCATGGGTGCTGCTACTGTGAGTCATGATTTAAAAAATTTCGAGGGTCAGGGGAATGTAACAGACTGAGGGATGTGGAACATTCTTGCTTGTCACATCTAGGCCCATGTTGTTGAGGAGAAAATGGGGTGCATTTGCGGGGTGGTTGTGGAGTTGCGGAATGTGTTCTGTACTGTACTGTACCTTGCAGGTGTCAATGTGCGGTAGGGTGCTGGTGACTGTTTGTGTTAGTGTTACTGATCTGATTCTTTGCTGCGATGATAGTGCTGTACTTGTGAGCTTGTGTGTGTATCTGCGTTGTCTATGTACATGCTTGGGAGGTGAATAGTACTGGTGGTGCTGTCGATATTCACTTCAAGCCCGTAGGATAGACGAGGTGGGATTTCTTATTGTGTGGATTGTTGGGTGAGATGACTGCATAGGCAAGTACTCACTTCTCATCTGGCAGAGAATTGACGTAGATTCTAGAGAGTTTGTATATCTCTCATGCCAGTTATGAGTCTCGGTTTGGTCTGATTTCTTAGGCTTCTCCATACAAACTCAAACCCGAGCTGAGAGATGAATAAACATCTTGACAACAAAGTCTTAAGTCAGATCGTCTGTCGCTGTTCACAGATACTGAGAACTGTTGGAGATGAGAGATACCTCACCTAAGTCAGACCTTGTCAGCCCCGCAGCCTTAGCATAAATGACTTCCATCCCCCGTATCTCGCCTCATCTTCCCTCTTCCTTCTTACAACCTTCCACTTCACCCATATCAACATCCTTTCACTTCAGCTATACAACACAATCCAAACAGCCCTGTCACTGAGGTTACCGATCTCCAGAGACGTCTAATGAATTCCTTCTCCACGAGTACAAACCACTATCTCCTTCCCATCTTCTGGATCCCCACAAAACTCTTACCTCGAGAGTTGCTGTTCAACACCACGACCAGAAATCCAATTGACACAAGTAACACCGGACCTCATCTCCTCGCAACGACCCGGTGATCACAAAAGTAAGATTAACCCCGATCCCCAGAAGTTCCTTCTACCGTCACCTCATAGACTGATGCCTGATTCAAATAGCCTATACCTTGACTCAGTGACCATCTCCTTCCTCAAATCACTGCCATACATCCATCGTGCAGTACCTTATGAAGCATTCGATGCAATGAGTTCATTCCTCTTTCAAGCAGGCAGCAGCACGCTGCGAGTTTTCAGTCTATTGATACAAATTCTATTTCTCTGCTGACCAGACGCTTTTGGCATCGGTCTCGACAGCGGCCTGCAAAACCAATCCATTTTTCCGACGCGCAGGCCGCTGTCAGACCGACAGCAGTAAATCTTTTAGCAGAGGCTTTTGATGTCGGTCTCGACAGCGGCCTACAGGGCTGAAGTACCTACCAGGAAAGAAGAAAAGAGGTGGGCAGTGACGCCCCGTCAAATCCAGTTGCAGATGCAGGATTGACTTCAACAACCGGAGTCTCGCAAACAAATCCAATGGTTTTTTTTGTCGACCAAGCTGCTCACTATATGCTCCTATGTACAGAAGTCTGCGATCTCCCCCATTTGGAATACTTGCAGCTTTTTAGCTGAGGAAACCTTTGCTCAAGGGACTTCAAGTACGGAGTACTTCAGTTTAGATGGTCGAAAGGGACAAAGAGCTTGGGACTAAGACTGCGAAAGAGCGTCAAAATGTTGAACAGTGGAAGTCCAAGTGCACTCACTGTGTTTACAAAACCGACGATGATCGGTCGACCTTAGCCCTCTCCGCTAGGGACGGTACTTGCTTGATTTGGTGTGCTCGATTCTGAAGTCGAATTTACTACGCCTACTTTGTTCCACTTTTCTCGGGAGTATCAAGGAGGCTTAGGGTTGAGACTATGGTACTTGTTTGATTCATTTGTACTGAGAAGATGGTTTATACTGTGATCTCGAGAACCGGAACTCCTTCAATAGTCGGAAATGCTCGGACAACCTCAGAGGTCATTGCCTTCACCTGTCAAAATGGATCTGTCCTGTACGTACTTGCTTTCAATACTCAACGCTCTAGCTATCCCCAACAGGGTTCCATTCTGCCTGTTCATTGCGAGACTGACCGCCGAAGTTCCCCAAACGGCCTACCAGGCGGTGAAGCTATTAAGTATGAATGATGGAGTATCTCGGCGCTCAGCCAAAAGAGACGTCTCGACACTATATCTTTCCGTAGTCAAGACACTGATCTAGCCGATCGCTCGCTCCAAAGGATCCTGAATCCTGTCAACTTAGAGGAAATACTAGGCAAACTAAGCTTCTGCTGACAGACCGCTAACCTAACTCACTTCCTTTCTAGCCCCCCTCAGGTATTTCGTTTCGGGATATTTGGACTAATGCTCAGCCAGATACGGGCTCTACTCAAGCGTGCTTAGCCTTGTGCCAGGCCATGCACGTTGCTCAACCTGCCTCTCGAGCTCGTCCTGAGAATATTCTTCTACCTCCCGCTTGCCTCGCAGACTTGCTTTGCGCTAACCTGCAAGCCTCTCTACAACTGTTTCACGTACGTGCTGAAGGATGAGGCGCTCTGCTTTCCGCGACTGCTGAATAATCTCAATCCCTTGATCTCCCTGAACCAGAAACATGTGGTCTGGAACCAGTTCCTCCTTCTGCTTGAGAATCGTTGCTGGAGATATTGCGCAGCCTGCCTCAAACTACACCCTCGCAAAGAATTCCCGCGGCGGCTTCGGGATCAGACGCCATCCATCGAGCGAAGGTGTGCGTCATTCGCCGGGATTCTCGATCTTTGCGCCTGCACTAGCCTCACGCCTCGCGGGATGTTACGTCCAGTAAGATCACTTCAGGAGGCAGCATGCGAACAAGATCGGCGATACCCCATACTCGGGGATGAGTCCGATGGGCGATACCAGGTTGCGCACGACGATCGAGGCAACCGTATCCTGACGCACACGTGCTCTACACCCCCACAAGCCCAAATCGAGTGCAGCCTGGAGATGAAAATTTCGTCCGAGGGCGCAGACAGTCTCGTGGTCAGGACATACTACCACTATAGATTTCGCAAGGTACCGCCATTTGCGATCTGGTGCAAGCGGATTCCTACCTGCCCTCACAGGGACCTTGACTCCGAGAGATACTGGACGCGGGACTGGTGTAGAACCTGTTTCTATTGTGCCGCATGCAGTAAATGGAATACGGGTGACTTGCGGTCTCTGACTGGTACAATGATGGTCACTCGGGTGTTGAGCACGGATATCTCTCGCCCAAAAACCCGCCGCCAATTTCGCTTGCCTCGTGAGCGATCCTATGACTTGCACGCGTGGAAACTCTGTGATGGGCCAGGTCAATGCCATCGTTATTTTCACTGAAAGTGTCCGAATTAGATGGGACATAGAACACAAAGCTTTGCAAGCGCCTCGCAGTACAGCCCCACATTAGACCTTGGTATTTGTGCTATGTACTTTCTTTCATTCTGGTAGCGTTGCGCGGGGCCTCAGCTCCAGTAAGACACGTTGAACGTCTTGCCTCAAGTTGGCCAGCCCTTCATCCACGGTCCCCAAAGCATGCCGAGCCTTGAAGTCATGATGTAGCTCGACTAGTTCCTTTGCTTGGCGTAGCTGGTCCTTTTCCTGCTGCAGAGCAGGTGTTTCTTCTCTGTTGCTGGGCTGTGATTGCTTCTCGTCAGGGTGAGAATCCAATCTCTCTTGAATGGTAACGAGTGCCAGAGCGTCGTTGTAATCCTGCAAGGCATTAGTTCTTGTCTGGTCGACAGGCGGCTGGATGAAAGGCACAAAACATACACAGACGCGCAAAGAGGTGAGATCGGAGAGGATTTCCGCTACTTGCATGGTGATGAGGGTAAGTTATCAACAACTGCGCTTATTTGTGACCCGGGGTTGTGTCGCGACAATGTCAACAAGGTGGAAGGCGGCTGGGAGAGCAGCTGCTCACCTGCAGCCCGCGTGACGTAAGAAAGTCCATTTCAATCCAGGCCATTCATTGCGGTGGCATGGCAGTTGCAGTTACGGTTATGCTTGATCGCGCATATCACAACTCACTTTTCTATACAACCGTTGTATAATTTCAGATCTCTCATTTTCATATCTCAATCTGAAGAATCAATAATCGAAATGACACACCAGTATTCCCTAGGACTGGGGGCCACCCCCGGCTCCAACCTCCGAACCTCGGAGAATCCGAGCTCTCCGCAATGAAAAAGCGCGGAGAGCCATTCCGCCTCCCCGGCCGATTATATTCTTATCCGCTTGCCATCGCATCCTCCAACATTCTGCAATTCTTACTCACTTGACTCCTCTTCTCGCTGTAATTCTGCAATTTGACACACAGCAATCACAATGGCGTCTGCGATTAAGGCTCAGTGCAGAAAAGTCATCTGCATTGGCAGAAACTATGCGTAAGATCCCTTTGTCAATGGTGCCGTTTAATCACCGCGCTCACCAGGCTAACGGACATTTCCATCTCCAGCGATCACATTACCGAGCTCAATAACACCAAGCCCAAGCAGCCCTTCTTCTTCCTCAAGCCCTCTTCCTCCATTCTCCTCCCCGGCCAGGGTCCCGTCCTGCGCCCGCAGGGTACCAAGCTGCACTATGAAGTCGAACTCGCCCTCGTGATGGGCAAGACGGTGCGGGACCTTGACCCAGAGGACAGCAAGGGCGCATTGGATGCGATCCACAGTGAGTCTACACCCCCACAATCCACAACTCGAAAAGCACCTGGCTAAGCGTTGCCTGTGTGATGCCTAGGCTACCTTCTCGGCATCGACATGACCGCCCGCAACGTCCAAGAAGAGGCCAAGAAGAAGGGACTCCCCTGGACGATCGCCAAGGGCTTCGACACTTTCCTGCCCATTTCCCAGGAGATCACCAAGGCCCGTCTGCCCGATCCGCACAACGCCTTCCTGCGCCTGAGCGTGGGCGCCGAGGAGCGCCAGGCCGACTCGACCGGCCTGATGCTCTACCGCATCCCGCGCCTCCTGGCCGAGATCTCGCGCGTCATGACCCTCGAGAAGGGCGACCTGGTCTTGACCGGAACGCCCAAGGGCGTGGGCGAGGTCAAGTCCGGGGATGTAATGACGGCGTCCATCGAGGTGGACGGCAAGGAGCTCGAGGAGGGGCGGATCCAGGTTGAGGTGCAGGACCGCGAGGGCCGCTACCGGTACGCCGAGACCTAGACCGAATGAGACTGGTATAGTGGGTTTTGGAGAACATTCAGTATATATACACTTACACATACAAATACACACCCCCTCGAATGAGATCTTATCTTAAATGATCACATCATCCCTAAGCTCAATGACCCACCATCATCGCCCTCGCAATAAGAACATCCTCCTCATCAGCCGGAACAATCGGTATGAACCGCCTCGCCCTCTTCCTCTTGCGCACCATTCCCCGATTCTCCAACACCTCAACCCAGTCCCTGACACTTTGACTATTGATCTTGCATCCTGAACCACCACCAAAAGCCCCATCTGCATCATTCTGCACAGCAGCAGCAGCAGCAGCAGCAACCTTACAAACCCCCCCCCCTCATCCGTGAAGCCATCCCAGCAACCATCACCACAGAGCCATCACCACAGAGCCATCACCACGACCACCACGACCACCACCACAATCCAAACTCCCACTCTCCCACGAAGTACTCTCACTCCCCCCCTCAACCGTCGAAGACAACCCACCCCCTCTCCCCATCCCCAACCGCAACCCCCCGCTCACACCAACCCTATCCATATACCCCAAATCACCACCACCAGCACCACCAGCAGCAGCCCCAGCAGACGTCGAATCCGGCACCAGCACTCCCTCCTCCCCATAAACATCATCCTTCCGCCCTTCCTCCCCACCCAGACCCCCCTCTCTTCTCGTCATCAACCCTGCAACCCTACCCTGCACCCCCTCCACCAACCCCGCCAGCACCGCAACCTCCCCCCTCACCGAATCCTCCACCCCCTGCACCCGCCTTTCCATCTCCTCCCACTCCCTCTCCTTCAGAGCACAGACTTTCTGGACCTGCAACTCCTCCCGCACATCCTTCAGCTGGTGCTGCAAGGCAGCGATAGTGGCCTCCGCGGCGGTGAGGCGGGCGGCGAGCTCGATGTTCTCGCGGCGGAGTTCGTAGGCCCAGAGGAGGGTTGTTGGTGTTGTTGTTGGTGCTGCTGTAGTCACTGCAGCAGTAGCAGGATCAGTTGTTGGGGCTGGTGGGGGGCCCGGGGTTGTGGTTGTGGTTGATGGCATTGGGATTGCGTGTTTTGGGTGGGGGGGTTTGTGGATGTGCTTTGGGGTCCAGAGAGTGTGGATTTTTAGGTTTGGAGTGTGGAAAAGGAAAGGGTGTGGTTGGGGAGTATGGTATAGTAGGTTTCTGTAGAGAGGGAGGTGGGAGCTGAGGGTGTTTGACGGAATGGAATGGACTGTGTACTTTGTGGGTTGGTGGTGGTGAGGATTAAGGGTGGTGGATTGGGTTGTCGTGGATGGTGTGGAGGTTGAGTTGGATTCGTTCGAATGGGTAGGGAGGTGTAGATTTATGCTGTCCGAGGCTTGAATGAGGTATATAGAGTTGGTGTATGGAAGAAAGAAAGAGTGCCGGAGGTAGAATCTAAGATGGAATACTCAAGGGTGGAGGCATGGAGGAAGAGTGCCAGAGGTAGAACCTAAGGTGGAATACAAGAATGTGAGGCATAATTTACTAGAAGACTGGATATTGACTAGCTGACTAGCTGACTGAGATATAGATACCTCTTGACAGCACATACAAGATAAATAGCCAGAAACGAATCATCCCAAACTCGCCACACTGCACGGGCAGCCATAGCGAAACAAGCGGTACCTTTCTCGTCTATTGTAATGAACACAGGGATACAGACCCAGTCGGGGCCAGGGGTTCATACACATCATCTCCATCTCCCCGCATCCTTGCGGCAAAAGAGAAAAAAAGCCGTCGAACGAGAATAATCACATTTTAGGTGCCCGACCTTCGGATCAAGTATGAACGTAACATCCTCGACCAGCCGGAGCGAGCAAGGCACAAAATTCAAATGGGAAAAAGCGTGAGAAAAGGCGTTTCCGGAAGCGAGGAACCATGAATTACAGCAATAAAACCGCACGAACGTTGTCGCATCTCCATAACAAAAAGAAAAAGGAAAACCATAAACAGTAAGTATTCGACAAGAACACGCAGGACATGATGGCATGGCCACTGCAGGCCCCTGCCGCCCACTGCTAAAAAGAGAAAATGCTGGAGACACAGAAAGCCACTTTTTGAAGGATTCTCCTTTACCAAGATAAGCATGACGACAGAACGTCTTTCCCACCGCAGCTCACCCTTGGAGCGTTATTGGCAACTGCATTCGTCATCCGCATCGAGGGGCATGAGGTGATTCGGGAATTAAGGTGTTTAGATGAGGTCTGCCAGCCTATTAGAATCACCCAGACGGTAGGACGGAAGGAAACTTACCAGCAACGTTCATGGGCATCTCCTCGATCTGGGTGCTGTAGAACTGCTCGATCTCGCGCATCATACGGACATCGTCAGCGGTGACGAAGTTGATGGCAACACCCTTACGACCGAAACGACCACCACGACCGATACGGTGGATGTAGTTCTCACGGTTGGCGGGGAGATCGTAGTTGATGACCAGGGAAACCTGCTGGACATCGATACCACGGGCCAGAAGGTCAGTGGCGATCAGGACACGGGAAGATCCGGAACGGAACTCCTTCATGATAACATCACGCTGGCCCTGCTCCATGTCACCGTGCATGGCGGAGACAGTGAAGTCACGGGCAGTGAGCTTGTCGGTGAGCCAGTCGACCTTGCGGCGGGTGTTGCAGAAGATGACGGCCTGGGTGATGGTGACAGTCTCGTACAAGTCGGAGAGGGTGTCGAGCTTCCACTCCTCCTTCTCAACGGCAATGTAGAACTGCTTGATACCTTCGAGGGTAAGTTCCTGCTTCTTGACCAGGATACGGACGGGGTCACGCATGAACTTGGTGGTGACCTCAAGGACATCCTGGGGCATGGTGGCAGAGAGCAGGGTGACCTGGGTGGACTGGGGAAGGAGCTGGAAGATGTCGTAGATCTGCTCGGTGAAACCACGCTAATGATGCCGTTAGCATCACCAGTCAATCATCGCGACCAAGTGGACTTACAGAAAGCATCTCATCGGCCTCGTCGAGGATGAACAGCTTCATCTGGTCGGTCTTGAGGACGTGGCGCTGGATCATATCGTGGATACGACCGGGGGTACCGACAACGACCTGGGGGCCGTTGCGGAGAGCGGTCATGTCGTCACGGACGTTGGTACCACCAATACAGGCGTGGCACTCAATGTTCATGAAGTCACCGATGGCAATGACGACCTTCTGGATCTGCTGAGCCAACTCACGGGTGGGAGCGACAATCAGGGCCTGGCAGGCCTTGAGGTTGTGGTCGATCTTCTGGAGAGCGGAGATGGAGAAAGTGGCAGTCTTTCCAGTACCGGACTGGGCCTGAGCAATGACATCGTTACCTGGAAAGACTATTAGTATCCAAATATGCGATAGGCGATGATTGGAAAGCCGTTTCAAGCATACCCTTGATGATGGGGATGATGGCACGCTGCTGGATAGCAGAGGGACGCTCGAAACCGTAAGCGTAGATACCTGATTGTCGTCAGTCTGGTGCCCGCACTGACCCCACCGGAGCGGATCAGAATTTGTATCACATACCGCGAAGGAGCTCGGGCTTGAGGTCCATGGAGTCGAAGGAGTCGGTGATCTCATCGTAGTTAGACTCGATCTGTCCTGTTGTCGTCGAAGTCTCTCGTTAGTTTATCTGTTACAGCGTCTTCGCATGGCCGTGCCCGTAGTTGCAAGAAATTTTCCATCGTTCTAGCCAAAGCCTCTAGCGGGGTGACCGAAACAACCCTGCCTCCCAGGCATACATCTCTCTTAAAGATAACAAGAACATTCGCAGCTGAAAGTAGTCGAAAAGAACGTACCCTCGGGGATCTCCTCCAAACCCTTGTCGTTAGAAGCCATGATTGCGGTGTTGTTGTAAGGAAGTGATCACAAGCGATGTGCTGTGATCGAAAAAGACGGTGGGGTTTGGGAAATAAAACTGAAAAAAAAGATGCCTGTTAGCGAGGAATGCAGAGGTAGACGATGAGGGGTAGGCGCAAAGATAAGAAAAAGTAGCAGTGAGATGGAGAGATGGAGACCTACCGAGATCACAACTTTTGAAGTTGGAAAAAAATATCACAAGACTACTAGAGTCGTAGGGGTTGGGAAGAAGAAGGAAGAGAAGAAAGATCAAGGTGGAAGGCCAACGCCTGGTGTGGGAAAATGGGGCAGGGAAAACCGGCGGCGGAACGAGCGAACTTTTTTTTTCACTCTCTTTTTTTTCTTTTTTTTTTTTTTACCTTCATTCTTCCCTGCTCTGGCTGGCTCTGTTTGTTCTGACGCTGTTTGATTTTTTCTTGACTTTTAGCGCTGGTTTAGTGCAGCCGAACTTGACCGCCTACCGTCTATGGCAGTTAACCCACGTTCTTTTCTCGCCCCTGTATTCTGCCGTACGCGTTTTAGTTGACCCTGACCACTCATTACGTCCAACCACAACACTCTCCCAAGTTCACTTGGGGGTCATTCTATGAGTTGAGGGCCTAGGTCACTCACTCACTGTATTGGCACTGTAATGGAATTGCTTATGTTCTACCCTCTATTACCTTTTTCGCGTTGGTGAACGGGTATTCCTCGGTACGGTGCATGGTTGGGCATTATCTTGCCTGATTATTATTCCTTCCCCTCCTCAGCGGGCTCAATGTGGGTGTTACTAAAATTTACTAGCGCCGTACCGCCTCTCGACGACCCCTCCGCCGAATTGGGAAAGTCTCCAGATTTCCAGCGTTGTCACTTTTTAGTTCTACTTTAGTGATTCTTTCCCTCTCAAACGCCGCAAGTATGAAAATGCCGGACATCAATTCAATTGACGGCGTCCGCGACCTAGACCAGGAGACGCTGACGCGTGCCTATCCGACTCCCATTTCCAATCCTGAACCGGAGGACGAGGCTGCCCACGATGCAATCCCCGGCCATCCATTGGGAGTCAAGCCTAGCGGCAATGCCCTGCTTGCGACGGAGAACCTTCGGGATGCCATTGGGGTCTTCAACATTCTGCCAGATGAGCTGATACTGATGCTGCTGGAACAACTCGATGGACCCAGTCTGGTGCGCATTGGACGCACTTGTAAAGCATTCTATGCTTTTACCCGAGCTGAAGAGCTGTGGAAGGCTCTGTTTGTCGCGTACGTTGTAGATACCACACTGCAATAGGTTGCATCGCCAATGACGATTTGCCTCGCAGGACATGACCCCTTCAGCAGTGTCCCGCAAGCTTAGCACTGACATGCAACGCCAGATCACCTCCCTCCAAGTTCACCTGGAAAGGAACATGGCGCTCCAGCTACCTGAACATCCCACCCACGGAAGTGTGCGTGTTGGATTGTTCGAATCTGTATTCCGATGTCCTGCACCGGCCCTTTCACTGCGCGCATATCAGTCTCGATCCCTACGTCACCGGCATCCCCGCCCGCAACCAGATCGCCCGCTTGCCCGATCTCTCTTTCGAAGAATTCAACGAGAAATGGTCCGATACGCCGTTCGTCCTGACCGAGCCCGTCAAGGAATGGCCTGTCTACAAGAAATGGACCATGGATTCCTTGCTCTACGACTACGGCGAGACCGTCTTTCGCGCAGAGGCCGTGGACTGGCCATTCTACAGCTACGTCGAGTATATGAAGAACAACTCCGACGAGAGCCCGCTGTATCTCTTCGACCGGGCCTTTGTGTCAAAGATGGGACTTAAGGTCGGACAGCTCGATCAGGAACCAGAGGCCGCCTATTGGCCGCTTGCCTGCTTTGGCGAGGACTTCTTCTCCGTGCTGGGCAATGATCGGCCCGACCGACAGTGGTTGATTGTCGGACCCGAACGGTCTGGAAGTACTTTCCACAAAGACCCAAATGCCACCAGCGCGTGGAACGCGGTTATTCGCGGCTCCAAGTACTGGATCATGTTCCCTTCGTCGTCCAAGCTCCCGCCTCCGCCGGGAGTCTTCGTGTCCGAGGATCAGAGTGAGGTGACCTCTCCCCTCAGTATTGCCGAGTGGTTGTTTGGATTCCACGCTGAGGCCCGGCGCACACCAGGTTGCGTTGAGGGCATTTGCAAGGAGGGAGAGATCCTTCATGTGCCTTCGGGATGGTGGCATTTGGTCGTGAATATTGAGCCATCTATTGCTATCACGCAAAACTTCATTCCCCGCGCGCACCTGAGCGCTGCCCTCGATTTTCTGTCTAACAAGGCAGATCAGGTTTCCGGATTCAGGAAGGACGTACAGAATCCCTACGAAAGTTTCTTGGCGAAAATGCAAGAACAGCATCCAGACCTGCTGAAGCAAGCACAGGAGGAGTTGAGGAAGAAGACAGAAGGCAAAAAGAGAAAATGGGATGAGATTGTTCATGGAAACGCAGATCAAGAAGGGGCTAATGCCAACGAAGGTGGTGGGTTCAGCTTTGGCTTCGGTGGTGATGATAGCGACATCGAGGTCCCTTGATTCCCTCCTATACGAAGCAGCAACAAACGAAATCGGCAACGGTCTGAAAATGACAATGCTGAGCCACCATTGCCTGGATTGCGCAGCCCAGTGACACCCTTCCCTCAATCAACCTTGAGAGAGCCTTTCGGAAACCAAGCTACCCAGCTTGCGCGCCCCATCTAGTGACACGCAACCGTCTTGCTAGCGGAGGTGTCGTCTCCGAAAACCAGATATCCTACAAAGGCACCGACAGCGACAGCTAGCATAACAAAGCCATTATAGGTCATGAAAAGCAACCTATGCAGCTCAGATCAGTCCATGTCGATAGGAGGGTAGTCAGGGAGCATACATAATGAAAAAGCTATAGAAGACCTGCACAGCATACAATGACGCCATGGTAATCTTTCCTCGCTGCTCGACGGACTTTCGGCTATCCCTACCTACAACGAGCTGTGAGCCACCGTTTGGGACAGGCAGTGTCTGGCTGGGAGGGTCATTGGCCGGCGGAGAATCGTCGTGGATTTCGCTGCCTTCAACTCAACAAGCGATTTGTCAGGCGCGTCATCTCAGCAAAGGCATGCATACAACCCATGACTATAAACGAGACGACAAGATATCCCGGATGCCGTTCCCCTCCGCCGCCAGCATAGCAGAAGCAACGAAAGATCAGACTTACCTCCGACTGCGGCGGTTGTGTATGCGCTGAGCCTCTTCGCATGTGCCACCTCGAAGCGTCTTGTAAGCTGACGGACGCCCTCATAGCCGGCGGTCAAAAGCACGATGAGTAGAAGTGAGATGAGTAGAGACAAGATGCCGGTGACACGCCATTGCGGGAAGACGATGCAAAGATTCTTTGTAGACCAGGTGAAAAGCATCTAGGGAGCGTTAGCAGGTTTGTTTTAGGGCAGGGCGGAGAAAAGCAATTATATCGCCGGGTGATTCTTAAATGGTGGAACATCAGAAGAAGAAAAGTGATCTTCGAACTTACATTCATACTACACTGTCCCATTTCCATGTCACCGTGGTCATGGCCATGATCCATATCCATCCCCATATGGTGCATCGAATGATCCATCTTGGGTGCTGTGAGATGCAAGAGCCAAGTTCGGTGTCAGCTTGTACAAACGACTTGCCCAGCAGAGCAGCGATGCAGCAGCAGATCTGTGGAATATCGACACTATTCAGATACAACCAAGGTAAATTGGCACTTAAAAGCCGTGAGCCAGGAAGTGAGAAGAGGGATGAAGGAAGTGAGGGATGGCGTAACTTAAGTGCCTATCGGAGTAACTCACCAACAAACCAACAAACCGTCCGTTCTCCGCCCCAGATGCAAACTAGCCAAACAGCCCTTATTGATAAGGCCTGCCGAGCAATTGATCTTCAATCCGCCGCAACAATCATTCCCATCCATCCATTCCGATACCCTTCACAGTTCAGTCGACTCCGCGCGCCATTGAATCAAGAATCAACTGCTCACCGACCAGCATCGCCATCCTCTACATTAGTGTCGCGCTCATCCCTTACCTCTACCAACAAAAGCACGATTCAACCCGAACAGAGCCCACGCGCCCGCGACTGACCACCTCAGAGGTCGCATCCAAACCACACCTCCCAGCACCGGATTGCACGTCACAGCCTCCCTCCTGGAAGCAAACATGGCCTCACCCGCCCCTTTCTCAACTGCAGCAGCAGGAGGCTCAGTTCCAACGTCCTCTCAAACTCCAACCGCGGCACCAGCCGCAGCAACGACACCCTCGCACCTCCGAGACATCACGCAGCAATTGAGCGCAGACTCCAGCTCCAACCCCAACTCCAATGTCACCACCACTACCAACAACACCAATGCGGCCACAAACCCCACTACAACATCCACAACACCGGCAACAACAGCAGCGCCCGCGCCCGCACCAACCCCAGCAACCCCAGGCACCCCCGGAGCTACCGCATCCCACCCGCCAGCACCGACAACCACAACAACAACTACAAACGGAGCCACCGCACCCTCCACCACTGACCCAACCGCCGCAACCCCAGCCCCAGCCGCAGCACAAACAGCAGCAACCGCAACAGCAAACGCATCAGCATCAGCATCCACAACAACCTCAACCGCCAACCGCGGTCTGCCATACTACGAGAGACTCCGCCGCGAACTGCGCGACACACTGCAAAAGAAACGCCTAATGGACAAGAGCATGGTACGTCCGCCCACCTTACTTTACCCCCATTCCCGGCCCCCATTCCCGGCCCCCATTCCCCTCCCCCCAAACACTCACCCCCTCGGGCAAAAGTCCTAACAAACGAAACCAGGCCCAACTCGAAGACCAAATCTACCGCTTCGAACAATCCTACCTCGAAGAAACCACCGCCGGCAACATCATCAAGGGCTTCGACAACTACATCAAGGGATCCTCGACCGGCGGCGGACTCGGCGCGGGGGGACTCTCGCTGTCCTCCGGGGTCGGAGGGGGAAGTGGCAGCGGAGGTGGTGGTTCCGGTGGAGGCAGCGGCGGCGGCGGCGGTGGTGCGCGACGGAAGGCGCCCGTCACCGAGGCGGATCGCGTGTTCTCGAGGAGTTCGGCGAGTTATATGCGGGTTCGTTTCGCCCCTCTCCCCCCCCCAAAAACCCCTTGTAGGCGATATGAGTGCACGAAATGCTAACCCGCTATCCCCTGTTGGTACAGGACTCCCCCGCGCCATCATCCGCCCAGACAACCCCCTCGCACGCCCCCACGCCCAATTCCACCTACAACGGTTCCTCGACCGGTAAACCCGGCAACAATGGCGACGCCTCCTCCGCGGCGAACAGCGTCAAGGGCCAATCGTCCAAGAACAAGAAGAAATCCGGCGGCGGCAATGCGAATAAGGATAAGTCCGCCGCAAATAATAGTAACAAAGACAACAATAACGATGAGGAGGCGACGGATGGGGATCGGCCGCCGACGAAGCGGTTGAAGATCACTTATGGGCGGGATTAGGGTTCGCGGTCATGGATGGTCTGGGTTTGCTGTTCCTGGGAGTTTTGTTTGTGGAGCTTTTGGGCGCGGAAAAGAATACAAGCTTGATTTGCTCTTTCTTCTTTTTTTTTTGGTGTGGCAAGGATGACTGACTGACTTTTAAGTGTTCATCATTGCGGCGTGTGGGGACTGTATCTTACTTCGTGATATCCTCTTGTACTGTACCATAACTATACTTTGCATTGTTGGTGTTGATCATGTTTTGACTATTTATCAGGAGCAATATCTTTGATCCAAAAAAAAAGACAAAAAAAGCAATATGTTTTCCATTGTGCGGCGGTCTGATACAATTGACACTACAATGTGGCTGACACTAATGAACAAAACACAACGCACAAAAACTACAGCTGCAGACGGTACGTCGCCACCTCGAAGGCTCTCAGCTCGATATCAATATCCGTGGTGCCATCGGCACGCTGTACCAGCGCAAGAGGCGTCTCGTCATCCTCGAGCACATTGCACTTCCAGGCCTTGCCGATGGGGAGCTTGGTGTGGATGGTGCCGCGGCTCTTGCCTCCGAGCGACTCGTAGATACGGAGGATGACACTCTTGCCGGAGCGCCGAGGCAGATTGTCTCGGGACACGTCCTCGTCGTCTTCGCCACGCTTGATCACGTCGATGACGAGAGACGAGTTTCCGGAGAGCGCAACCGATTTGAACGCGTCGCCGGCTTCAAGGCCGCTTGCCGCCTCGAGGACAAGAGGGTGGTTGAAGCTGTACCCGGCTCGGATTGTGCGCGCATCCAGTGGTCCTGCGTGGGGGAGGATGGCATAGCGGATGTGATGCCGGCCCATATCTGCGTGGGCGTCTGGCGCCTTTGGGGCGCGCAGCAGCGAGAGACGCATCAGGTTGCCGGCAGTGGCGAAGCCATACTTGGAGTCGTTGAGGATTGACACTCCATAGCCGTACTCGGACAAATCAGCCCATTTGTGGCAGCATACTTCAAACTTGGCCATATCCCAGCTGAGTGAGAGGTTAGTGATAGATTTCGACTCTGTTGTAGATATAGTCAACTTACTTGGTATTGTAATGCGTCGGACGCCGGATGATTCCATATTGTGTTTCATACGACGCCTCCGTATTAGTGATGTCCACGGGAAACTCGACCTTGAGGAATCTCATGGTCTCGCGCCATTCGACCTCACTTTCGAATTCGACGTAGGAAGGCTGGTCTCCGTTCGCAGCAGTAAGACTGATGGTGGTCTTGATCCAGCTATTCTCGCTGATCTGAGTTTCACTAACGACACTGACACGGTAAGGATGCTTCTCGGAAATGGTTGTCTTTCCATAGTGCAGTTCCTTTCTGGAATCGAGATGGAAGACCTCCACATCCCAAGCCTGCCAGTAAAGAGGCTTATCGTCGAAAATCACCAGTTGCCCAGCCTTCTCGCCCTTAGGGATAATTTCACGATCCGCCTCACGGTCGTACAGAGACGTTATCACACCGTTCTGAATATCGACTCTGAGGTTCGCATTCTCCAGACGGAAGACACCAGGCTCAATTTCGGTGACTGTAACAGCAGGAACCACCTTGGAAGGAGCAGGGGCTTGGCATCGAATGAGGCCAGTTTCGCCACTGGCCAAGGTATACATGGGGTCGCTCGAAGCTACAAGTTCAGAGGGAACTCTGACAATTTCGGAACGTGGCCAAGGTAGTGTGTTGAGGGCTATGAACTCCTTGCTAGTCTTCGTCTTGCCGATTCCCAGAGCCTCAAGCGCTTCCTTTCTGAGCTTCTGACCTGTTTCCAAGATTTGCTTGTAGAGCTTGTTCGAGTCATCATAGCACATCTCGATGGAGCTTCCGGGAAGACAATCGTGGAACTGGCAGAGAAGAACACCCTCCCACATGTCATCAATGTCCTTCTTAGGATACTGATAACCTTTGTCGCCATGAAGAGATGCCAGAGTGGCAAGGTACTCGATCTCCCGGAGCAGGAATTCAGATTTGCGGTTGTTTCGCTTGTTGTTGGCTTGCGTAGTGTACGTGCCTCGATGGAGCTCAAAGTACAGTTCGCCATACCAAGTTGCGAATTTGGTGCCAGCTTCCGCCTTCTTTTCGAGTCGTGCAAAGAAGTCGTCGACGGATTCCCCCATCTTCACGCGAGGAAGCAAGCCCACTTTGTCACTCATTCCGCGGCAACGACGCAACTTCTCCAGATGTTCGAAGGTTGGGCCACCTCCACCATCACCCTTACCGAACACCAGGAGCGATGTATTGTCCTTGTCCAGCGATTTATGCTGAGTCACACTGCGCTTAACATCGCCAAAGTGGGCGCTCGCAGTGTAAGTCTCGGATGGAGGCATGTGACACATAACCTGACTTCCATCCAGCGCTACCCATTGAAAGGTAGTGTGGGGAAAGTTGTTGATGTTATTCCAGCTGAGCTTCTGGGTGAAGAACCGGCTCATACCAGCCAGACGACAAAGCTGAGGAATCTGCGTAGAGTAGCCAAAGGTATCTGGCAGCCAAAAGGTGGTACAACGTTCTCCGAAGTGACTCTGGAAGAAGCGCTGTCCATAGAGAAACTGTCGCACCAATGACTCGCCGCTTGGCATGTTAGTGTCGTGCTCGACCCAACTGCCACCAATGGGCTGAAAATGACCCTTCTTGACCCATTGTTTCACGCGGTCAAACACCGAGGGATAGTACTCTTTCAGCCACTTGAATTGCTGTGCTTGGGAACAAGCAAAGCGATGCTCCGGATAGCGATCCATCAGATCACACTGGTTCGACCAAGAACGGGCCACCTTACGCTTTGTTTCCGCCCAAGGCCAGAGCCAGCAGGTGTCGATATGACAGTGACCAATTGCATAGACGATCGGGTCCGTGTCGGTGTCATACACCTGCGAAGAGTCGACTTTGTCTCCGATATACTTCCTCGCGATCTTGCGGCCCTCTTTGATGGACTCTTGACTCCCATTGCCCGCAATGAAAGCATCAATTATAGCGTTAGTCACCATGTTGGCCTCATGCTTTTCCCAAGAATCTCCTGGGAACTCTCTTGCAGCATCTAAGCACAATCCCAAATTAGTGTGAGGCAAGACAAAAGGCAGGATCGGACAAAAAGCTTAGGGGCTTGCAGCATACCTCCGATGATCCAGAAATCATAAAACAACGCCCGTGCTTCAAGGTTCACCGCGGTGATCTGAGCTTTACTCAAGGTGAAATATTTGTCGGGAGAGGGAGGCTGAATGGAATCTCCACCGGGAGCGTTACCAAACATGCCATTGCAGGCCATTTCGATGTAAAAGACATGTTCCTTTCCGTCGCGCCAGGCGTCGGGGATGATCCACTCGATGCGTTCATTTCCACCGGTGAGACCTTGCAAGGGCCGGCCATCTTCCGACCAGATCAAGCCTTCGTTGTTGGCATCCCAGTGGAACTCCAGGCGTTCTTTGTCGCGCATGTCCTTGGGAACAGTCAAGCGGATGTGAAACCAATGGGTCGACCAGCTTGGACCGAATGAGGCCCCAATGTGGGTGGGCTTGAATTCATGGGAGGTGGCTTCCTTGAAGGGTGGACGCTGCAGGTTGGGGACGGAGTATACGGAAAGCTTGACATGGTCTTCGTCGGAGTTGACAGCCTCGTAGAATTTGCTGAATTGTAGTGTCAACAAAGGGACTGTTGTGATAAACTTATAGAGGATCTTGAAATTAAACTCACGAGAGAAGGTTCTGGCCCTCGTATTGACCGGTGGCGGTGAACTGCTTGAGACGGTCGGTGTAGATGGATTGAATGCGCTGGCCGACGGGGCCTTGGGGAGTCCGGGGAAGGGCGCTGGGAGCTTGTCGGGGCATGTCTCCACCCATCGCCGCGGGTCTAGATTGGGGGGTGGTGTGAGTGGAAGGATGGAAGAGCTCAACGATGGAGATACCGTCCCAACGAAACAGAAGGGACGAGTGTGTAGACGGGATGGTTAATTAATTGCAAGAATTGGAAATGAGGAAGATGGAGAAAGCAAAGAGATGGAAGGTTTGTTTAAAGAGGAGACGAGCAGCAGGAGGCGGAGGTGGTCCGGGGAGGTGGGAGGAGTTGCCAGGAACGGCCAGGCACCCTGCCGGTGACATATCCGAGTCAGCTGAGCCCTCTGGGCACAGTGCTGCATCCTACTGACTACTGACAATCCGGGGTATCACAACTCTATTGACCGGATGGGTAATTGGCCAGATCATGGATATGTCCATCGACTATACCTGTTTGTTATATCTTGCCTACAATGGAACTTAGATCAATTGACCATCCTCTCTAACCAGGCTGAGAGACACATTTACCCATGGACTCAGCATACAACACAATCAGTTCCAGTGGCTATAGTGAGTGGTGGGTAAGTAATTCCTACACCTTGTCAGAGAACTTGATCACAGTCTTTGTCTGCAAGGCAAGGCAGAAACAGGCCGATAGTGCTTGGCATCTACACTGTACAGTACTATATTATATCGGGTTTGGTAGCCGCTTTCGGGGTCTGGATTGCGGAGAGCGCCTCCCTCTGGAATGCTTCCTCAGATGATTGTCTGTACTTTCCTGTAAACAGTATAGCAAAAACTTAGACATGATCTGTCCCTCCCTTGATATTCTCAAATATCTCAACATGGGACTCTAAGCATTTTCTATCACATCAGTAGCAACCTCTAAGTGAGACAATTGAGTTGCTCGGTTATCAGTGACATCATTAGAACAAGCGGGGAAACACGAGGATGAAGGACCATAGGGAATCTCGCATTAGTGATGATAATCCGGCTCAGATGCCTTCACGACAATAATCATGCCAAGTAAGAGAAGTGAGCTATATTTAAGAGATCAGTGTGAACAGTAGAAACGATATCAGAACAGCCCCTCGAGGTTGGAAGAACCATCGATAGAAGATAAGATGTTCTCAGAACTGCGGGGCAGAGAGGCATGGCGATTAGGAATGCAACAGCACTACCCGTGACAGAGTACGACCAACCTAAAGAACTGAGGA